AAGTACTAAATAGGAAGTACATCATCTATTAAAAATACAAATGTACTCAATGTGAACAGAAAGTATATTACATTTTTAAATGATAAATTATTTTATCTTCATAGTGATTACATACTACTACTAAAAAAACTTGTTGAGGCCACAAAAATGTTGTAACTATTTTAAGAACGTATGTCTGCTTTTTTTCTCTCTCGATGCGAATAGTTTAGTTGTTTTTGATAATTTCGAATTATATGAATATTTATAAATGGTCTCGTCAGCATATAAACGCACTCAAAAATAGAACATTACTGACAAGTCTTACTGAAAATAAAATACCTTAAGACTTAATGATGATAACAATGTAACAGATCTTGATGAAATTACTACTGACGATGACACTTGATGTGCTGAAAGCTTTAGTTTATTTTATATTAACTAATAAAAACTATTACATATTCAATTTATATTTTTATTAATTTCATCAAGATCTGTTACATTGTTGTCATCATTATTATCATCATTTATAGTTATACAGACATTATTATGGTGTTCTATTAATTGTTGTGTTTGTTATTTGTCTTTTCAGTGATACACAATTATAGTTCATTATCATGCTACCGTCGATGATGCTTGAAGTATTGAAAGCTTTAGTTTCTTTTATAATAACTAATAAACAACTATTATTATATTTCAATTTATATTTCCTTAAGACTTATATTGATAAGTTCAAAATATACGTACTTCTTTAATTCATATTTTTCTACACAAGCTTTTCATACAGATGTGCACAGTCAGTATCCAATATTGGGTTGGAGAAAAAATTTTACTTAAAAGTTGAAATTACCCTTTAAGTACCATGGCTCAGCGAACGGATGAAACTTTGCTAGGACTTTATTTTTAACATGTATGTTGTATGTTGAGAATATTTTCATCGAAACTTTTTAAAAAACTTTCGAAGTCATTTTCGATCAATACCCGTACACCCCTACAGCACGCTAGTATTTAAAGGCTTATTAAAATGATAAATACTGCGCGAATACACGCATCTACATGTCCTCTATGCCACAATGGCAAGTGCACTTCGATATTGTTTCGCATTCGTAAATTATTCAGAATTTGTCAAGTTCTAAAAAAGTGGGGCTTTTAGGCCCCGTTAGTACTTAAAGGGTTAATCTCGAGATCCAAAGTTAATTTCAAAGTTGAAGAATTATGAGCAGTTTTCCACAAAATCTGGTCTTATGTATAAAACTGTTTATAACTTAATCGATTCAAGCTTAATTGATCAGGTGATGCGTGTATAATATAAAAACTTGTCGCCTTATCCAAGTAGATCACTTTGATATTGATTTAGTACGAAATTGAAGTTTTGATGATACTTTTTTTGCTCAATTCAACATTGGACGGTTATATACATATACGCATGTAATTACTTTCATTTGTATTACTTATTTGCGAGAAAATAGTTCTTTTTACGGATTAAGTACTTCATGAAATTATATAAGAGTTGAAGGTCAATCATTACTTAATAATAGTATATTATTTATTTTGATAAATTATCAGAGTCAGATTAATAAATGAATAACAAATTATATTTACTTTCAGCCTAGTTTTTTTCTATTCTTTCATTATCAAACTATTCAACCATATCGTTTACATGTATCTAAATATATATTTAGTCAGATGTCGATAGGTATAGCACATGTTATACATAAAATAAAATATCATTTGGACATATTAGAAGCAAAATAAATATTATAAATAAACAATATATTATCAAAACAACAGCTGATAAATGCTGGTATTCAAAGAAGTTATTATTCATATTGAGATATTTTATTTATGAAAAATATCAATAGAACACCCATAGTGTATTAGAAAGCGAAGGATTCTATAGAAATACTTAGGCTACAAAAGCTATTTTCTTTCCGTTTTTTCTTTCTTATTTTGTTCTGGCCTCTCACTGGTAATTCTCGTTCACACCCACATCTTCTTTACTGTTCGACACTCATTCGCTCTGTAGAACAATTTCTTTGCTCGTTCTTCTTTTTTTTTTTACCGTTTCTTTCTTTTTTCTTTTCTTCGTTCCTTAATATTCACGCATATACATCATATTTTCTAATACAACCGAATAGCTATATTAACTTTCTTTTAAGTAGTCAACATGTTAGAATTTTATCGTTCTTAATTTATATAATCAATCATTAGAAAAATTTTAAAAACAAAAAAATACTACTGCAGAATTTTTCTTTTTTTTTCTAAATAAATCATACATTATAGAACAGAAAAGACCATGCTGCGCTATTATTTATTTACATTGTTTGTTTTATTCTTTACAGATCATTTCTGACAAATTGAATATAGTGAGAGTAAATTAATAGAAAAAAAGTTTATTTTAAAATAGTGTAGTCAACTGACATCATTTTCTATGGATTGATCAATGTCATTTTTGTTCTATATATAACGATCATATAGGCTAGTATATTTTAATAATCATGACTGTTCATAAAACCTTGCATATAGAAGGATTTTTAATTACATTAAGCGACATTTTCTTTCATCTTACATATTTTTGTAAAATTTCATCGTTGATAAATAACATGTTTATATTATAGATGATTATGATTAGTTGATATTAACAATGATAACAAACCGTTCTCGATTTGTTTCACCAAATTATCAACCTAAATCTCACCATAAAAATCCTACAACAAATGAAATTGAAGATGGTGAAGATAATCCAGGTTTCTTAGAGCCTAATGATGATATTACTGAAACAAATTTGGAACAAATTCAAAAAATTGAATTGGATATTGATAATTTACATGTTGCTTTTAGTACAGCAACTTCAACAGTTGATATCAATGATCGAAAAGAGTCATTAATTTCCACCCAACCTTTTGCTATCGATGAAATTGAACAAGCATCTGATGAAGAAGTAGCAGCTAATGTTTCAAATATAGATGATCCCAATATGTTAGTTTTAACATTTCGATCATGGTTTCTTGGCTTATTATTTACATGTCTTCTTTCATTTGTAAATCAATTTTTTTGGTATCGAACATCACCGTTATTTGTTGGTACACTTGTTGCTCAATTATTAACATATCCATTAGGAAAAGGAATGGCTAAAATGTTACCAAAACGAAAATTTAAAATATTTCGATGGAGTTTTAGTCTTAATCCAGGACCATTTACTATCAAGGAACATTGTATCATTACAGCAATGGCTAATGCTACATGTGTAAGTTAATTTTTTTAATGAAACAATAGAAGAATATATTTTTATTTATTTTTTTGAAAAATAGAGTACAGCATATGCAATTGATGTTCTTACAGCTTTACGAATATTTTATAAACGAACACTTCATCCATTACTTGGTATTATTTTTGTCATTACATCACAAATTCTAGGTTATGGAATAGCTGGCATTATGCGAAAATTTCTTGTTTGGCCATCTGCAATGATTTGGCCTGCTAATCTTGTTAATTGTGCTCTATTTCGAACTTTACACGAAGATAGAGAGGGTGTTGATATTAATGAAGAAGGAGGAAATACTGAATCACGTTGGAAAATGTCTCGTCTTCGATTCTTTTTTCTTGCATCTTTCTGTCAATTTTTATGGTATTGGTT